CTACAGAATAGTGAAATGTAGATTTTACACCTGGTTGGCTTTCCATAGAAAGGGTATTAGAATTCAACAAAATTCAATTCAATTTAACAAAAGGACGCACATCTCCGCTTCGAACATAACGCGTGCGTACAGTCCTTTGATCTTTAAGCCTGCCGCACACGAGAGCTATCTGCTTACGCCAAGTGTCATTCGTGGCATTTGGCGTACGCACATAGCTCTCGTGTGCGGTACAATTTCAAACGTTTTTTTGTCATTCGTGGCGCTTACGCCAATTATATCTACTAGAGTTCCTATATTATAGAGAACTATCGTGTTTGATTTTTTTGGCACGCGTGCCAAATTCAAAGCGTGTGTACTGTGGCGAACAAAAGCTATCTGCTTACTACTTATGCATACTACGCATGCGTAACCATACGCCCACGTGTTCTAATTATTAGCTTGCGCTTAAATTAATAACGATTATTACACTTTAAATTTGTTTGACTGAACTGTAAATCGCACCCCACACCGCGTCTACTAGTACTAGTCAAATAGTGGCCAATGCTATGCTTGACAATAGGTTAGTAGAATTGTGGCCTGAGTTTCCGTGTTTATACGATGTCCGATCTACAGAATTTAAAAACAGGGACAAAAGAGAATTAGCTTTAATTGACTGACATCGCGGCATAATTAAATCAAACGAGTAAGTACTATCATGCCTTCTATCTGGTAAACTATATGATATGTATACCCTAGTTAGTCAAAGGCAGTGCCAGGCTTACTTTACTACTCATATTACCAGGCCTATAGGTTATTATACCGTATATTATTATGCTCATGATAATGATCATCATCAACTTTATTTATCACCATCATCAATATTATTATATTATTAAATGACCATTATTTTCATCATCATAATTATTATCGAAATAAATTATAGCCTCCAAAATTTAATGTAAAATGATCAAGAATAGGCCTAATAGTATACACAGAAAATAATACATTAAAAATTAATACAGACAAAACTAAAAATATGCTATAAAAACAAACACAAAAGGACGCACATCTCCACCTCAAGTGGTCGAGTAACACTGACGCTATTATTGCCAAAGCCAATTGTAAACTTTTTATTAACGGTGATGAACACCTGTCGATCTACAGGAGATATGTACGGCCTGTACTTGAGTACCGGTACGCTGCGCCTCTGTGGCACCTTGGCTTAACTAAACAACAAAGCAGTGGGATTGAGCGCAATTCGGGTTTGTCGGTGCATTCTGGCCGATAAATTCACTAATTATGGTGATGCCCTTTTGCAGCTTGGACTGGAGAGACTGGCCGACCGCAGGGTCTCACTATGTACAAAATTTGCTACAAAAGCTGACACAGAGGGTCTTGCCGTGCATGACTCCTGTGGATTGACAGAGCGGTTTTTTTTTTCTTTTATTACAGTGTTTAAGATTTAATTTTGTATATTTCTAAAGTAAACAATTGTATTTCTATTTACTGAATTTTAACTTAAATTGTTTGACTTGTCTTGTATCTCTTCTTTTGTAACTCTTGTCCATGTTTTTGTGATTTCGTCTGTGCTTTTGATGTCTCCAATAAATTTCATATTTAATATCGCAATATTTTAATAATGATCTGTAAACTTCTAATTGCCAATTTTATATCTTTCAATTCAGCATATGCTGCAATAGACTGTTTTGTATGTGAGCTTCTTTTTCAATAAATATACCCAGCCTGGCTCTTGAAAGACGATATTTATATATTCTCTTTTCCCTCTCCAGGTTTCCATGGGGGTACGGTTTCATTAGGTGTTTAGTCATGGGAAATGCATCATCCCCGATGTGATAGTTAACAGCTAATCCTTCAATATGCACAGGCGGTGGCAAATTCAGTGAATTATTACTTAAAGTTTATTTAAGTGCAGACTCACAATAAACGCCAGAGATGTGTATAAGAGACAGCACGAGCTTCTTTTTCAATAATTTTCTACAGCCTGGCTCTTGAAAGACGATATTTATATATTCTCTTTTCCCTCTCCAGGTTTCCATGGGGGTACGGTTTCATTAGGTGTTTAGTCGTGGGAAATGCATCATCCCCGATGTGATAATTAACAGCTAATCCTTCAATATGCATGCACAGGCGGTGGCAAATTCAGTGAATTATTACTTAAAGTTTTTTTAAGTGCAGACTCACAATAAACGCCAGCATCTCCTGCACGTCCTGGTGCTCCCACCTGAACGTACATGAATTTGTAATTTGCGTCTACCAAAGCAATGAATAATACACTAAAAAAATGCTTATATTAAAAAACTCAGAGCCACTATGACTTGGTTGCTGAATGGCAATATACTTTCCGTCTATTGCACCTACACATAATGGATAATTCCATTTTCTTTTGAAGTCTTCTGCGACTTTTATTCATTTATCCTCAGTTGGTGGATCTGTAAAGTATAACAAAAACTGTTTAATTGTAATTGTTTCTCTCATTATTTTAATTTCTAGGAGTCATCTACCCAAAATGATGATGGCGAAGACAGTTTTCACCAGGAGGAGTTTGAGCCATCTACTCCACTCAGTGACATCGAGCCTGAGAGTGCAGTCAGAAGGTCAACAAATGAGCATCTTAAATCAAGGCCAATTGCTCCAAGAAAAAGGCAGGCCGAGGAGGAGTACTATTTAATTAAGGGGCTGGCAGAGTCCTTTTCTTAAAGAACAAGAGAAAAAAAGTACCGTATGTTAAACAAAATGCTGTTGCAACATTTGGCAACTATGTTGTGCAGACACTGTCCGAGCTGGAACCTCAAGTGAGGCTTGTGGCACAGAATCAAATAAGCAACATATTGTTTCAGGCCCAAATGGGATATTGGGCCAGTCATAGTCAGCGATCCTGTCAGCCATATTCACAAACATCCAGGTCGTCACTACAACATCCTTTTGGTTATGCCTCGCAACAGCAAAATGAATGGTCAATGCCAATCTAGCAGCCAGCTGATTTTGCTTTTAACTGCCCTCAACAAGATGAATAGTAATAATAATAGTCATAGTAGTAGTAGTAATAATGATGATGA